CAATGACTGAGAGAACAATCTATCGACATTGTCAACGTTTGGATCACAACAACACCAAGCCGCCTGTTTGCAAGGATCAGCTTGAAAGACGTAATGCCATCAGCAAACACTTCCATGATGGCAAATCAATCAAAGAGATGCTCATATGCTTGAAGAATGAGGATAATATTATAATCAGCCGATCCAACTTAGCTCGTAATTGCAAAGAAATGAACTTGACCCGTAAGGTTGATGATATCAACAAAGGAAAGTACACAGAAGAAGAAATAGGTCAGCTCATTACCGAGATCCAGTCAGAAAATGCAGAAGAAGCTGGTATTCGTTCTATCAAAAACATTTTACTCAGGGAACACAATGTCCATATTCATAGGTCTGCTCTTCACTGTGTCATATCTTCAATCTGATCCATACTTACTTTTTTACAAATAAACAGAGACCGTATTGCACAACTGTTGCGGGAAATTGATCCAGAAGGAGTCTCACGTCGCCAAAGAGCAGTCCTAGTTCGCCGCAATTTCAAATGTCCAGGTCCAAATCATGTATAGTCAGCAGACGGTCATGACAAGCTCCAGAAGTGGGGTATCCGGATATATGGTTTCATTGATGCTTGGTCTCGCCAAATCCTGGGTCTCTTTGTACATGTCACCAATAGTGACCCCTGTCATATTGACATTTACTATCTTCAATGTGTTAAAAAGTATGGTGGTGCACCACAGTTCCTTTATACTGATCGAGGTACTGAGACCGGAAAGATGGCCGCCAGTCACTCTGCAATTGTTTGCATTCACGGTGAAATGCCTGAGGACCAAGCTTTGAAACGACACAAGTTCACAAAATCACTTTGAAACCAGAAGATAGAGTGCTTTTGGAGTCAACTAATGCAACAACATAATCGTGGTGTTCTTCAAAGGCTTTTTGATTCACTTGACGCCGGTTTCTTTGACATTGACATTCAACTGGATTGGTAAGTGATACTCATAGTCTTTCTATGTTGGTAGCTGACTGATACTTGTTTTGAAGGCTTCTGTTCCTTTATTTATGGATTCCTTTTATTCATAAGCAGCTGGATATATTCACCAAAAGATACAACCACAGCAAACGCAGAAAGGATCCACACTCCTCCCTTCCCTGCGGTCACAGTGCTGACTTTTGCTCCAAAACCCGGTTGAGTTGTTTAATGGACATGATGGATTGATACGTGTCCCTGCTGAAGATATAGATAGTCAAATTATCGAAGATTATCCCGGCATACATAGCTTATTTACCTACACACCTGATTGGTTTTCATTGGTTGCAGATAACATCATGCCCACCTTGAATCTCTCACATGAGAAACTCAAGTACTCCAACATATGGGCTGCATTTCGATTTATGCGTGATGCTTTGCTAGATCACAACTGGGAAGGGACTCTCTTTGAAGGAAAAGATCTAAATCATTTTGGTACTTGAACGTGAACATCTTACACATTTTTATTCAAAAACTCATGGTCTATATGCGTCTTAACCACAATTATACCTTGAAGTAGGAAGAAATCAAATACTAATTCATAATGTAATAAAAGGAGACAAACTTTTTTAGAAAAATAGAAACAAATGTGAACCAAGTGTAATTACAAGGATTTCAATTGTGCTTTAAATGCTTCCATCTCATCCTTCTGCTTCTGACTTTTTATCATATCACATTTACAAATCAACTCATCTGCATAATTCTCAACCAATGTTTCTCAATAAATTTCCCACTCTTCATCACTCCTGTTGCCTCGCATGTCAGTAATCTGGTTAAGACGTTGAACCATACTTTTAGCAATTTGACAAGATGATCCAAATCGTGTTATCTTTGCGTCCTCCGGTGGAATACGTTGATGATCATGAGTAAAAGTCTTGGAGTGAGTACTATAGTGTTTGATGTCTGATGCCCAAACCATTTCAACAACTCCATCACATCCATCAAAATCGATCTCAAAATTGTAGTCAGGAAATACAAATCGAGCTCCTTTAGTATAGCCGTGCTTTGAAGTTCGGCCACGTCGATAGAGTCTACCAGTATCTCGATGTATCAGACTAAATAATCCAAAGGTATAGCCAGAGTGATTGTTGTCAACATGCTCCTTGTTAGCAAACTCATCACGTGCTACAACAAAATTGGAACCAAAGACATGTCCATTGGGTGATTTAAAAAAAGACTTTGATGCCCATGATGGTGCTCGACATTGTGCAGCTCATTCGCAGTTGGATTGAAAGGCACCAATGGATAGAGAGGCAAATCGTTCAGCTAGGAAGTGATTGATGTAAGGAAGATACATCTGACGTCGTAAGTCATTTTCCATACGAGCCACAAGTCGTGCAGTGGTCATATTGAGAGCGTAAGTACCTAGTATACAGAAGAATAAAATCAATGTCTCCTCAAAGTCATAGAAAAGTCAAAAAGATCATACTAATAGATACAAACCACCAAATTTTTTCTTCCTGTATCCACCACGAAACCCAACCACAAACATCTGACCAGACTTCATGTGCTTTAGAGCTTCAGCTGCACCATTTGTCACACAGAAATATCGGGCAGTTCCATGTTGATATAAAGTCATAATTGAGTTATTGAAGTTTTCAAAAAGTTTTGCACATTCAGGTACAAGTTCACGCTTCAATTTTCCGTTGTTCAACCGTTTTCCAGTATATTCACGTTTGTTGAATCGGACCACAGCAAGGAGCTTGGTTCCATATTTATTCAATAAGACTACAGTACCAAAAGTGAGCGATAAATACTTTTGTTTTCCATGCTCAGTTCAAAAAACAAATGTAGCATCTCTAAGAAGACCAAATCAATCACGGATCTTTTGTTTAAATTCAGCACGAATGTGAGCTCTTTTCTCAGCTCGATTCATGTTCAACATCGGGTCAGAAGAAGGGGTTGAAGGATTTTGTTGATGAACCCAACAAGCAATGATTTTGCTTTTCTTGATTGCTATTCAAATTTCTACTTGTTCATTTTTGAGCTTTTTCCGACCACGTTTCTGTGATGGAGATCTATACTTCTTCTTATCACTAATAAAAAAAATGATCATCAGCTAAAGATCTCTTATAGTCAGATAGCAACCCACTTTCTGCATCCATCCCACACTTGGATCGTGATAATTAGGCTTGCATAAGGTCTGTGTCGAACCCTACCCACAAGAATCTGGTGTGTGAAGCCAACCCAGTCTTGGGGAGGACAAGTACAGTTGAACCTCAGCAGTGACCGTGAATCATCATGATCCAAAACCAATTTGATAGAGGAATGGAGATCAAGTAGTTCCGCATTCACATAGTGAAGAATGAACATGCAAGATCTGATTCCATCCTCTATCAAGTTGACCTGTGAGACTTCTGCGTGTGTGTGTACTGGTATCTGACCATCATGGAAGAAGGAATTAAGTTTGATCTCACATGATGATCATGATTTAAATAGATGATCTAAATATCCAATAATTTGATTAATTTGAAGTAATTGAGAATAAGAGTTTTGAGTTTATATGAATCTAATTTGATTTGAATAGACAGCTAGATGTTAAGATGATTGATTTCAGTTGAATTGAATGAAAACAATTCAATTTAGTTGAATCAAATGGAAACGATTTGTTTCGGTTGAATCAAATGGAAAGAATTGTTGGAATCGAATGGAAAGAATCCTTGGAATCGAATGAAAATGATTTGTTTTTTTTAATCAAATGAGAACAATTCAATATTTGTTAATCGAATGAGAACGATTCGATTTTTGTTAATTGAATGAGAACGAATCAATTTTCGTTAATTGAATGAGAACGAATCGATTTTGGTTTAATCAAATGAGAACGATTCAATTTGGTTGAATCGCTTGGAAGTGATTGTTTTAGATTAAATCGAATGGAAACAATTGAGTCAGGTTGATTCAAGTTGACTGAATCTTTTCCTAACCAATAACTATGAAAATTCAAAAACAAAGATAGTCAGTGTAAATGTGATGAACTAATCAATGAAGATTACTATACATGAGGAAGAAAACAGTTCAATTATGAACTAGATTGATTAGAGTCAAATGAAATTGTGATTTGGGGAAAATCAAATGTCAGTGGTTTCTTTGGTTTGATTTGAATAGTTTTTAGGTGGAACTGTGATTGAGGACAAAAGAGTTCCAAGATGAATAATGTGAGTAATTCAAAGATAGAAGGAGTTGAAATACTTACCCAAATAAAGAAAATTGAAAGATGAAATGTTTGAGTTGGTAGTTGGGAAGGGTTGATTAGGAGGTATATGGACGGGAGTTGGTTTTAAAAGCTTTATTTTGAATTTCAAATTTGAAAATAAAACACATTAACCCTAAATGCTGTTTAGAACAATTTCATTTGAACACTGCATTTCTGTGCTTTTTTGAGTGAAAGATTGGTTGTGTTCTCAGAGCGTGCGGAGGTACACAGAAGTCCATTTCACGAGGGCGTGAGGAAAAACGGAGGTGTAACTCCCAGGTGAAAGGGAGCATTCGTGAAAGGTAGGTTTCACAGAATGAGGAATTTGGCATGTGACCAAATTTAGAAGAAATGAAAAGTTTTTCATTTCTCCTCTAGCCACTCCTTCACCTTGGAGCAACACCAGAGTTTTTCCTCTCGAGCTAGCTTCCCTTCTCTCAGCACACTTAGATAGCAAATTCTTCTTTTAAAAATTTATACGCACACCACTGAATGTGGAATAGGATTTGCACTAAATCATTTCTAACAAAATACCAATTTCATCCGATGATTCAAGCAGCTAAGAAAGCAGAAGAAGAGAAGAAGGCACAGTTCTTGAAAGAAGTAACTCAAGCCGAAGAAAGAGCACGTCGAGCACAGAATAGGTCACCACAACCACCATTATTTACTGGAGTTACTGAACCACCACCCCCGAACGACACTCAAAATGATAACACTCAAATTGACCTGACTCAAACTGACGAAGTAGCGAGTAGACAACAAGTCCCGGTGTTTACGGTGTCGACGACGAAGGTGGTGAAGATGGACAAAGACGGTATCCAAGTGATTTCGGATGGCTCGGAAGGTGATAGTGAATCGTCAGAGACTGAAGGAGTTAGGAGTGGAGATAAGGAGAAAAGAAAGAAAGCTGAACCGAAGAAAAAATCAAAGAAACGAAAGTCAGCAAAAGGAAAAGAGAAGAAGGTAGATTCTTCTTCAAGTTCAAGTGATGAAGACGATCAATTAGACCAATTGGAGGATTATGGAGGATTGATAAATAAAAAATTTTGTGAGCTCTTGAGGATTGATAGAAGTCGCTGCATCTACTGCACGATGGAAATACTTTCCGATTCATTTAACTTTCCAATCTATTCACTCTTTGATCAATGGGAGGTTGGGGAACACAACGCTCCACGCCGGAAGGCCTGTTGTAGCGGATTTAATATAATCCTTAGCTCCTGCCTGAAGGGCAGTCGTAGCAGTTGTGGGAAGAGAAGAGTAGCTAACTCGTTCTCAAGGGGAAGAAAGAGTAGCTCCAGCCAAGCTGTCGCAGCAATAAGAGATACCCCCCCCCCTCCTCCCGGTTTCCCTTGTGATCGTAGTTTCTCGTTCAGAATGAAAGAAGGGAAAAAGGTAGAACGACATACTAATGCATGTTCTGGTGTGATGTTCAATTTGACTTAGCAGTTCCAAAATCTGCGAAAAAGTTGGTAGATTCGACCTCAAAGAATGAGGCGGACAAGTCGAGTGATTCGATCATGGTTCGTTTGGTGGATGCTGTGGAGAGGGGAAGTTTGGCTACGGTGAAGAAGTTATCGGCGGAGTTAGTTGAAGCGGAGAAAGTGAAAGACAGAGTTAGAGGAGAGAAAGTGAAAGATAAGAAGGCGGTGAAAGAGAAGAGGAGGAGAGACCAGGAGGATAGTTTGAAAGAGAAGTCGAAGAAGAAGAGGAAGACATATAGGAAAGATCCTCACAAGAAAGAATCGAGCGACTCTAGTTCATCCCCGAGCTCCGATAGTTCAAGTTACAAAGGGAAGCGCCCCAAGTCATCTTCATCAGATTCTTCCTCATCGTCAATTTCAAAAAGATCGTCCAGATCATCAAAAACTTCGGGTGACTCGAATTCCTCGGCCAGCTCTTTGGAAGCGTCGGATTCAGATTATTTGGTATCAAAATCAGGGGTCAACTGTCAATTGAAAAAAGCGTCGGCCTTCGACTTACCTGACTTGCCAGAGAAATGGCAGAGAGCCTTTAGGAAAATGAACAAATATGTCCCCTTATCTGTTTTCAAACGGTCGTATATCGATGATCAAAACTGTTCGAAGGATCCGTTCGCCAAGAAATCGAAGAGGCAGTGGTGGGAAGTGAGCGAAAGGGACCTGGAAAGACAGATGTCTTATGGAGAGTTCATTCTGGCGTGTGATTTAGAAGCGCGTTATGCTAAGGAATTGTACGGTCATAAGGCCTATGCAAAATACATCAAGGAACATAAAGAGATAGTTAGTAACTTGATGATCAAACATAAGTGCTGGATGGTGGGTTTAAGATACCATTTAGCAATACGTAATGTCATATTCAGGAACCGCTCACAAATCATTTATGAGAAAGGAAGGAAAGGAAAGAAAGGGAGAAAGTTGGAGAAGGTGGTTTTACCTGAAGGTCTTCAAGAAGAGGCTGTGACCACGGCTAGATGGGAAGCGGATGCGGCAGGAGATCTGATGTTTGAAGAGAATCCCTACGCGCACGGAAGACCGAAATTTGGTTTTGATTTCTATACTGGTCAGAGGAAGGAGAACTCAAAACATAGAGACTTGTCATGGAAACATGCGAGCGGTTTAGGAGGCGGAAGTGGGTTTGACTTCAAGAGACCAAGAGGTGGGAACAGGGGCCGAGGATCGGGAGGTTTTGACCATGATCAAAACAAGTACTCGAATGGAGGTACTGGTTCCTACCATAATTGGCACACTCCGCAGGCCGGTCCATTGAATAGCGGTTGGGTGGCGCAAGGTCAACAGCATGCTTACAGACAAGTGGCAGCGGCTAAAGGAGGGAAACATCATAAAGGAGGGAAGAAGAACAATTGGTAAGCAACCTCATCTGCGGAATGTGATGATGAAGGTGTTCTGACGGAATGATGTAAAACTTGCCTTTGGATTGCTTTACCTGATGCTGGAAAAATAATTTTTGTTGGATGTTTCGATTGTTTGGGGGTCGATGTATTGGTGATGGATTGGATGGTTTCTAAATTATGTCTTCTTTCTTTGGTTTCTGGTCACCGTCGTTGTGAGTTGTTGTGTTTGTTGAGTATAGAGAGCCAAAGATTAAGTGGAGCTCAAGGTGGAAACGAGACGTTATGGGTGTGATTGATTTCTGAAATGTTACATACCCTGTTTTCGCACGTTCAGCCTTTTCTAGCCAGGACCGTATAAATCTAACTGAGAGAGAAGAAGTGACCCATCCTGAGACATTAGAGAGACAAGAGGAATTTGAGGTTTCATCGGTGGTACCATCTTCAGATCAGGAGAATGAGGAGAAAGGTAAAGGTAAATTACCTCTGAGTTCACGAAAATCATATGTGGTGGAAGTGGAGGATAGCTGGCCGAGGGAAGTCAAGTGTGACATGAATGTAGGAGAGTGGGAGATTTTGATGAGAGAAACAGGGTTGGAAGAAGACATTCCCTATATTATAACAGGGTTTAAAGAAGGTTTTTGTTTGGGGATTCCCCAACACTCTATAGAAGGGAAGAGATGGTATACTCCTCCCAATCATAAATCAGCTCTGTTAGTGAAGGACGAAATTGAGAAGACATTAGAAAGAGAGTTAAAAGCAGGAAGAATAGCCGGTCCTTTTACTCACAAGGAACTTTTTGAAAGATATGGGTTTTTTCGATTGAACCCCATGGGTAGTGCTGTGAACGGCGACGGTTCGATTAGATTGATTAACGACCTCTCGCATCCGGTAGGAGATTCGAAAATCCCGTCAGTGAACTCTTTTGTCGATAAAAGGAATTATGAGACAGAGTGGGATGATTTTAAGGTAGTAGCGAACTTCTTTAGAGAGAACCCAGGAAAGTGGTATGTGGCAATTGTTGACTGGGCGAAAGCTTATCGCCAGCTTCCGAATCATCCGAGTCAACGTCGTTTTTTGATTATGATGGACTTTAGAGGGCGGCTATGGGTAGACTTGGCGGTTGGTTTCGGTGGGGTTGCAAGTTGTGGAGTTTTTGGAGCTCCAGCGGACATTTGGAGACATATTGTGAAAGAGATACTGAAAATCCCCAAGATTTTCCGTTGGGTAGATGATAACTTGATATTCAAAAGGCCAGAAGACGTGGTAACATTAGATAATATCATTCAGTTAAGTAGAGGCATGGGAGTAGAGACGAACCCGAAAAAGAACAAAGACTTCAAAGAAGAACAACGTTTCCTCGGATTTATTTGGAATGGGACCGATCATACGGTAAGACTCCCAATGGACAAACTGAACCAACGGAGAGATATGGTGAAAGAGTTCCTGGTGGAAGGGAAGAGATGGAGTTTGTCAGATGTAGAGACATTGACAGGTAGACTGGGGCACACGGTAAACGTAGTACCCCATATGGCCGCTTACTTACGTTCCTTTTACCGGTGGATGAAAAGTTGGAAGAAAAAGAGAGCAACAAGGCGGACACCGGAGGATGTTGTGGATGATTTGAAAGAATGGTATCTGTGTTTGAAAAACTTTGAATGTTTTGTCCTGGTGAAAGACCCTCCAGCGGAATACGTTGAATGGGTCGGTGATGCCTCTTCATCCTTTGGGGTTGGGATATTGGTGGGACAGTATTGGGCATGTTTTAAATTTTCAGATGATTGGAATTCCATAGGGTTGAGGAAAGAAAAGCGGTCGATTGCATGGGCGGAAACGATTGCGGTACGTCTAGGATTACTTGTACTAAGTAAGGTAATGCAAGTTAGAGGCCGTACGTTTTGGGTTGAAACAGATAATACGACGACAGAACATACCATTAAGAAGAGGAAATGTAAGGATCGACGGGTGAACAATGAGTGGAAACAGATCCAACGTCTGTTATCAGTTCTAGGTTGTAACATCAGACAGAAACGAGTTTCGTCAAAGAATAATGATGCGGATGGTTTATCAAGAGGTAAAGCGAATGGCTTATTTTGGTGGAAAGAGATCAAAGTAGAAATCCCGATAGATCTGACACCCTTTGTTGTACAAGTTACCCCTAGAACAGACCCGTGAAGGTTGTATGAGTTTCTGATAGTTGACTGAAAGTATCTCCGTTGTCCATCCACTTGTTTATATCGTTCGGTTGTATCCTAAAAGTTATTTGTTTTGCATAAAATGGCAAGAAAGAGTTCAAATTCTAAATCAGACAAGTTTAGACGCTACTCAGGAACGGATGGAGAGCTGAAGAAAGTTACGAAACCATTTGGAATGTTCAAAAGAGATGCGGAAGGAATAGATCGTTTGGAAGTTGACGAAGTTCAAAAACACTTCTTGAGGGGAGCTTGGCGAGATGGGACGCTCAAGCATTATAATTCGGGTGTAGTTAAATTGATGAGATTCGCCGAAGTGAAGAAGGTAAACAAGTCCGACCTCCTACCTCTTACAGAAGAGGCTCTTTTGCATTTCGTGGTGTGGGCGTCGAAGAAAGGTGATCAATTGGCCAGAGATGATGAAGCAGTGAAATCTTCGACTTTGAAGGCTTATTTGGCGGGAATAAAAGCGTGGCATACATTTCATCGAAAGCGATATCCTGTCGATTCTGATACGGTGGTCAAAGGTCTATTGAAGGCATCGAAGATGGTTGAATTGAGATCAATGGAAATAGAAAAATTACGTCCACCAGTTTTGATTTCGGATTTGAAGATATTGGCAGATAGCTTATCGATAAAAGTAGAGAGAGAGTTGGCTTTGCTGGCAATCGCGCTAGTGGCCTTCTGGGGTGTTTGTAGGTTAGGGGAGTTGGTGAAAGATGGTGATGGAGGAGGTCTTCCGGTCTGGGCTGATGTTTATTGGGCAAAGGATTTGTCTTACGCGACTATCGCTCTAAGAAATGCGAAGACAGCAAAACCTGGTGAAATTCAATATATTATTATTCAGAAACAAGATTCAAGATTGGATGCCTTTAGAGTACTTCGCTTACTTTACCTTTTTCGACCAAGACTACCAGAAGAACCGGTTTTTTCGTGGAGGAAGGAAGAGAATGTGACGATGGAGTATGGGAAGAGTGCGGTGATCAAGGTGTTTAGGGGAATGTGGAACTTTCATCGTTCCGGGAAGAGACAGATGTTATATGGGCATTCCTTTAGAATCGGGGGAGCTTCATTGAGGTGGAATTTAGGTGCCTCAAGAGATGAGATTAAAGAGGTAGGTAGATGGTCATCAGACGCCTACAAACACTGCAGACATTATTCGGGTTCCCCAAGTGGGCAGGGAAAAATGATTGGGAGTATGATTTGTCATAAAATGGTCTATCACTCCACACCTGAGCCATAACACCCACACTACATATGTGTAGCAGGCTCAGTGAATATGTGGTTATCATGTACATACAGTTCTGCTCAGTTATCTGCTCATCAGGACAAGTTATTCATATGTAATACATGCTGTAACTTCTTTCAGATTGAAAAAAGCTTCCAAAAGATTGACTACATACACTGACTCAATGTTTTGGTGTGATCTCATCAACTCAACTGCATGTAACACACTTTCTGTTACTAAGACATAGCTTCAACAATATTGCCTGAGCAGCTACAGAATTATATGTAGTGAATTTTTGGGAAAAAAATTTCAAAGTCGAAAAAGTTACATGTGGTATAACATGTGATTTATTTATTCTGATGGGCAAAAAACTGAGCAGACCTGTATGTACATGATAGACAACTATTGACTTAGCTTGCTGCACATATGTAGTGTGGGTGAAATGGCCCAGGTGTGCAGTATTAGATTCTTTTATGAAAAACTGTACTATTAATCATTTTCCTCTGCCAAATTGGGGAAGTTGAATGATGTTTACAGTGAAAATTTATCTGCGGAAATTCGAGAAGAAAGAGTTGGATGAAACGGTAAGACTCTTGAGAGAGTTGAGGATTGAAGAGGGAAATTGAGATTGTAGGGAAAGGAGGAGGAACTTAGAACGCTAGCAGGGATAAGTATTCCGCGACGAAAGGCAAAGACAACGATCGGGCGATTGGGGCGAAAGACGGATGGTTGGCGAACCTTAGCGTCCCCTACGCAAGGAATAACCCGATCGTCTCACAGGCACGCATCCTATTGTCCCCGAAGAGATAACGTTCCTCCAATCTGAAGTTGACTCAGAGTGTTACGCGAAAAGGTAGCAGGAATAGTTAAAGTTTAATTCAGTAAATCTTGGTGGGGATTGCTTTGAACCCATTGATATGAAAGTTGGAGGCAAACTGTAATGATTTTAAAGTTGGTGTGGAAATTCTAGAATGCACATACATACTGGCATATGTCTATTTAGACTTTGTGGGGAAGGATTTGCAAGACTCACGTAGTTGAGTAGAGGGCGGTTCAACTCCTCAGGCTCACGGCTCTCCTCCGTGAGTTTTGGGGTTGAGGAGTCAACCTTTCTCAGAACTAGCTCTCATTCTCGCGGGTATTAGATTACAGTATGGTTCTTAGACCTGCCTGTGTCATTATACCCGGAGACCCCCCCCCACACCACATGCAACGTGATGCTTACTGATAGGGTGAGGTCATTTTAGTGGTATAACAAGTTCAAATGTAGACAGGAACAATCATAGTTCTATTGATTCATACATGTTCTTGAGGTATGATAAGGAAATAGACATATGGGAAACAATATAAAGAGTTTCCCACGTTCCTGACTGAGCCCAAGGTAGAAATGGATTGCAAAGGAACAAACAACAATGATAGGCAACATAGGTTTTTTGTTCATAAGCATAAAGGAGATACGCAAAGAAGAGAATGTAAAATCATGAGTGATAGAAACATGGTCAATAAATGATCTAAATTGATATTCTATAGTGGTGATTCATCCCGATCTCTGGCTTCAAGAAGGTTATTCAAAGATGCCAAACTTTCACTCAAATCAGGCCGACCACCATTTCTGACATGTTGAGCAATGTAATCATCATCGTGGTTCTGGTCATGATCTTGGGAAGATGATTGATTTGGAAGGAATGGAAGACCTAGTTGACGGCAGAGTGGATAACAGTGATGTTGGTCCTCAAAGTTGGCAAACCCCTGCTCTGCTGTATTTGTTTCAGCAACCCAAGCATTCCTAAAAGAATAGAACATGACCATTCATGAGTTTATTCTTCTGAAGATGTGGTCAAAAAAATGGGAATGTTATCTCACCCGGAATCAAGGATCAATGGGTCCGTCAAATATAGACCAGCTCCTTGTAAATCAGCAACCAAGCGTTTATGTGATGTAATCTTGTAAACATAGTGGGTGAAGGCTGCAATGCATAGGTGAATTGGATCTCCAACTCTTCGTGTTTTGAAATATACATTCGAATTGTATTTCTGGAATTTACCTTGATCAACTAGTGATTCTTCAAAAAACCAGATATTCTTTGGATCAAGATCATCGTGCTTTCCACTATATGCCACAAATGAGTTGACGACCTAAAAACAATATATGAGTTAGATGTTTGATATATATATAAGCCAATTAATCAACCATACCTGTCAATTTGCTATAATATCTATGAGTTGTCTATCTTTCAAAGAAGCACACACTGCCTGAAATTTCTTCAAATACCTTGATACAGCCATATAAACTTGCTGAGTTTGGGTGTATGAATTCAGAATTTCCTTTCCAACAGCGTCATTTGTTATGAGCTGCTTTGCAACCATCTTGCAAACCTTTCCATTCATTTCACCAAGTGCATTATAACATATCCGACAAGAGCCTCTACCAATCTCTTGATCAGTGAATACATGATATTTAAAATTGACAGGCGTCCAACCTGGGTGCTTAGAACTTGGATCAACTTTGAGCACCAGCTTTCGTCCATAAATCAGCTGGATTGGTGTAGAAGGTGTCGAGGGAGGTATTACTGGAAAGGGTGTGGCAAATTCCGTGATACCAAGATTGTTGAATGTGGATAAGGCGCCTAACAAGGTGGTAATTAGCATTTGAAAGACAGACAGAGATAGAAAATCTGAGAATTCTCACCTATCGGTACCTCATTTGTCAATGAGAGCATATTGTTATCAATACAACCAAGATAATGATTGTTTACGGTAAGAAGCAAGTCAGAACCTTTTTGAGCAGTGAATTTTGTTTGGTGGTTGTAGTCGGTTTGTAAGATAGGTATGTTCTGTCTAAGAGTTGGAGCGAGGTGTGTTGATCCGTTGTTCAACGTGAATGTACTTGATTTGGTACTTGAAGGTAAGAAAGATGGTGGTCCCATGAGATTGTCCTGAGAAGGTTGATTTTGACACGAGCTTGAGACAGATGGTTTCTTCTTGTGTTGGTCTTGTATTGTAAGAATGTTGCTTGGTAGTTCTAGAGTTTCTGGACTAGAATCATCTGAAATCTTGGCCGAAGAAGAGGCTGGTGCATTGTATTTAGGTTTCTTTGCTTGCTTTTGTACACGGGACTCTGAGCTGGAAATACTATCAAGTTCTTCTTCAGAAGTTGAAGGGTTGTTTTGTTTTTTGGCGTTTTTTTTTTTAGCTTTTCTTTGGTTGGAGGATAATCTTTGTCGTGTTTATCACCCTCAAAGATAAGCTCAAGTCCATTATTACGTGCATTACTGAGATGTTCTTTGATCTTTTCAGGTGTGATCTTAACAGGAGGACGAGTAGTTGATGTGATATAGAAGTATTCAGATTGGAAGAAGAGTGGATACGTTGGAATGTTGTGCCTTATGTCTTGTATCTCATCAGAAAACTGTTCAAATATTTCACGACAAGCTTTGATCCAGAGAACCTGATCAGATTCGACTCCAGTGATTGACATCTTGATTTCTGCTGCATGGTGAGGAAAGAATGTTCGACTGATACGGCCATGGTGATACATTGCCAACTTTGCGTTGAAAGTGTATGATGGTTGAGTGGCCGATGTTTTTGGTTGATTTGAAGCAGAAGACGAAGACAGAGCTGGTTGATTCAGACGTGAGAGGCCTTGACGTTGCTGTGATTTTGCTGCAGCAAAGCGGTTTCGAAGTGCCTGTGAATCCTTCTTCTTGTTTACAGCTGATATGTGATTATTAAATGCATGATTTCCGCAAGCACTTGGCAGATGATTGGTGTTGGTAGTGGCAGGTGGTATATCATTGCTAAGCTTCTTGAGGCATTCTCCACACATTTTGAATTGGGTGTATTTTTGTTCGACTAAGTTGATGTGGCATTTTTTGCAAACACTAGACATCTTCAAGGAATATGTGTACAAAGCGGTTGTGGTAATATGAACTATGATGATAGATGGCTTATGTTGTTTTATGATATGTGACCAAAGTCTAGTTGTACAATCTGATATATGCGGCAAAAGAGTGGATATATAAACAAAAGGCATATATTGAAACCTATGTACCGGTGGTGAATCGGGTAAAGCTATTAGATGTGATATTGTGTCATGTTTTTGTCAGTATGACACTTATCGGCCGTCAGACCGTCCGCCATGACTCATGTTATGACACGGTTTTTTTGAATCAAAAATCCATGTCGATGTGTGTCAGTATGAGTCATGTTGTACAGTATTTGGCTCGGGGATGAATTTCAACCAAACATGACATGGAAAAATTACATGTTTAACCCATGTCATGTTTATATGTCAGTATGAGTCTACACGTACACCATACTGACACACCAAAACCTACTTAATAAGGGTCATAAAAGCCCTGTGAGCACCTGGGCGGCCCGGTCCGCCCTGGTGCCCATCATTTTTTTTGCTGAATAATCTAAAAATTGCCTTTTGAGTTGGGTCCCATGGCTCTCTCCAAGGTCTGAGTAGGCTAATATAAGGTTTATGTACAATTTTATACACCTAGATGTGCAACAAACACCAGAAATCCCCCCTATGGCCCCTTTTACCTCTTAAAATCAATTCAGGGTGTGCCCTGGCTGGCCCTGAGTGTTTTCTGGATCCCCTTGGGTCTGCCCAAGGCCAGGCGATGCCCCGGGGCCGCCCTGTCACACTCAGGGCCGGGTCACAGCCCTACGTCAGATTATGTTGACAGATAGCTCAATCAACGTGTAAGACTGGATTACATGATGTAAAAGCTTTAAATCACTAGTAGTGGAGGTGTATGAAAAGAATTACAAGGCAAATAAGAAATTGGTGTCAATCTTGAATTAACAGTCACAAGCATACATGTAACACCAAAAACCTTAACTTCACAACTCAATAAATTATTCATCACACATCAGAAATAGGTCATATGGGGGTGATAAATGATCAGTATCACAAGTGCTATAAGATGCACCTTAGTAATCCAAAATTGGACCTCATCCAAAAAAAATTGTAATCTCAAAAATTGGTTTGCAGCTAGTTTACAAGGAAGAAAAGCACCTGTATTCATCATAAGAAGTGCTGTACATCATATTGCTGTGTCATTGATCACTTTTGGCTGTGAAAATCACATCATACATTAGTAATAAGATCATTACATTACATTACATCATTTTAGGATTTTTAGGGATTTTTGGGCGGATTTGATTGGTTTTGAGGCTGTTGACCATGGTAAAAGTTGTAGTACATTGTTATGTATACTTTGAGATGATTTTGGGACTGTTGTTCCCCTTTTTTCTTTATCATTTACACATTTATTATTTTGTTTATCATCATAAACTTATTTTAATAGTACCTGGTCACTTAAATACACCCTTTATTACAGCCATAAAGAGAAATTTACTTTAGTATTGTAGTCAAAAAGACTTATTGGGAATAATATCTATCACAAAGATACTGCTTATTTTCTTTAGTTATCATCTGGGAATAACACTATAGCAGTGTTGATAGTAATAAAAATTGTGTTTTTGAGATAAGATTTGTGTGATACATTTCTCTGGTGCCTGATCAGTACTCAATACAACAGTGTCCTTTCCTGATTGTGTTGTTTTAGAAGAGCAGCCTCAGACAACTTCTACTAGTCATTTTATTAGTAGATTATCTTCTTCCAGCTCTGTATAACCCTTGTTGGGTTATAAGTTCTACAGCGTTGATGATAGCTTGCCGTAGTGGATTGTCGAAAGTTCCAATCTCTTCTTGTGTTACTAACACCTTGAGTTTCAGGAGTGTAGTTTTAAGTTCTTGTTTTGTGTAAGCACTATTTACCTTATTCCAATTTTTCTTGACTGAAGATTGTGGGTTTGAGATTGCTTCATTCCCCAACTCTGTGGAGAAAGTGGTGACGAGCCCTTGGTGGTCAGAGTGGTGGCCCACAATGTTGTCTTCATTGATAAAACAGGTTACTGTTTCCTCGTCAAAGTCCTTGTTGACCCAGACCTGATCAATAGAGGTCCTGTCTGTGTTTACTGATTGGACTCCAAAAGTAGGAATGCCTTTTGGGGAGCGCAAGCTCAGGCCCCATTCCATCAGCATTTCAATCATTAATTTGGTGTCCTTGTTGTTGAGTGTTGTTTGGCTTGGGTTCCATGGAGGAGAATGTAGGTTAGTGTCTGTTGTAAAAATAGTCGGAAGAAGTTGAGTGGAAAGCGGGGCTTTTTGCAGCATCTTGGTGAATGCCTCAAACCCTGCAACGGTTTTTTGGGGGTTGTATATGCCGGCTACTGTGTAGCCACATATGGTCACCGTGCTTGCTGCTAGGCTTCTTGAAATTGAGTGAATTAGGTTAATGATAGGGTTCAGGTCTTGTCTTACATATAAGCATGCACACGGCCTGTCTTCCTCTTTGAGGGATTGTGGAATCGGACAAATGAGGGTCCAATTCAACATGTTAAGTGGGAGGTTGTCAATGGGACTGACATAGGGTTCTTGAATTGATAGAATTGAAAAAAGAGAAGTGAGTTCAGAATGAAATAGGGAATGTGTGACATGTTTGGTTGAAGAATGCTAGCAGAATTGCCAATGTTGATTTTTCCTATCATCTGAGACTCTAACATTGAGTAGATGGATTTTTGGCTACAACCTGGATGTAAGGTGAGGTGCTGGGACTATGCAGCAGGAACTGGCTTGCAATCCTAACTGGACATACGGGGGCAAAAGGATGATGGAGAAAATCAGCATGATTTTCCTTAAAAAGCCGCGGAATGTTGGCACTGGCGTCTAATTTCAGTTTGCCACATGCGCAGGCAATACATTTCATGGCAGTGGTTCCTTTGATGGGGCAGTCATGCGTATGATGTTCCTCTGAATGGTATGGACACATAGATGGTATTTTACATGCTGCTGCTGTGTGACCTGCTCCTTGGCAGTTGAAGCACCCCTTTGTGCACGCACCCAGACTGGCTTCATTGAGAGTCTTGAAGCCAATCACCATCACATCACCATACATCAATCCATTGTCCCTAGCAGTTGAATTCTTCTGCATTTTGGGATCCATAGATCCTTTGTCCATAAGATCATGCACCAAAGAGAGAAAAGTGAGGAGAAGTGATGAAAAAGTGAAGGGATGTGAAAACAATTGAGTGAAAAGTGTTAGGAGAATGAGTTGGATGATGGCTTGCGCAGTCACGGAGGGGGTCACGTGACAAATTACAAAAATTCGGTACGAGACAGATTCCTCCCCTTGTGGATATCTCGGCTTCAGGGTCCTGCCAGCTTCTGAGCAATCGGACTGTCTCAATTGACAAAAAAACTTTTGATGATTTGGACATGCTTGAGTGACTTCAACGACACAACATAGGTCATTGGTGCTACAGATCCCGCCTGGAAATGCAACAATCAATTAAGAACTGGGGCGATGGGGGAGCTCTGCGTGCCTAAGGTGGAAAGTGATTTTGCTGCTCAACTCGGCGTGGTAGTGTGCAAGCGGCTTTGGAAAGTATGCGGCATCCACTCGCGCAGAAACAAGGGCAAATTTGGGCAAGGCAATTGAAGGTGTGTGGAACGGCAATTGAATGTGGCAATTAAATGAGATTGAAAGTAGTGACACGGACCGGAGGCTGAAAAGTCATAGGTGGCAAATTCAACGAGAAGGAAATAATACAAATTCGAAAGGTACAACGTAGACAACGATCAGACTTCTTGTGAATTCTTTCCTGTTTTGCCTTTTGACTTGGCAGGGAGGAGCTCGGCGTGAACTGTGATCGAAGAAAAATAGTTGTGAGCAAGAGCTTGAAGGGGCGGGCAAGACGAAGAGGGTAAGAGCGCTGCTCACTTTGAGGAAGAACACCACCCTGGGAGATAACAACGTGGCCAAGAAGGCGGTTCAACTCTTCGTCATTCTGTGCGATAAAAAAAGACCAGTCAGCGTCGCTCGGAGGTAAAGTTGCACAAAATCGACTGACTCGGATGGCAAGTTGAAGATGTCGAGGAATGATACGTGACTTCTTGTTGTCTCGGGCTGCGTTACCGGCCAACTCGAGAATTTCAGCTGCAAGGTACTCGAGAACTGCAGCAAGGTAGACTGAAAGGCAATCCAAGAATTAGTGGATCGTAAATAGGGACATCATAGAAAGTAAGAACATACCAGGTGCACCGGCACCGATACGTTGGGCGTAGTGACCTTTTCGCAAAAGTCGGTGAATACGTCCGACTGGGAATTGAAGACCAGCTTTGGCGGATCGTGATTGAGAGGTCTTTTCACCACCGGCCTTGCCACCTGATTTACCACCGGAAGACATGTTTTATTTTGTTGAGGATGAAGTTGAAGTGAAGTTGAAGCTGACTGTGAGCTGGATAGATTGGATGAAGTGGATGATGGTGTGTGATTGTGTGGTGGGGAGACTCTTCGAAGGGGCAGAAGGTGTGCGGTATTTCAAGTGAAATGATCCACCAGCTGAGGTTATCAAAGGACGCGATGCTAAGTCACAAGTCGCGACCTTGGATCGAGAATCAGACCACTAGCTTAATGGTAAAAACTAGGTTTTGGACCGTACTTTACCTGTAAGTTAAGATGTTCAGTCGGCTTAGGAATCCGAAGTGCGTGGTTGCGAATTGCTCGAGCGCGATTAGACGCGCTGATTGGCCAGCTTGTTACACTAAGCTGCGCACGCGCATCCTTAGCAACCCAGACTAAGGTTCTGTACTATCGCAATTCGCACTTGTAACTCCCTCGGCACGCGCCACTCAGCTTATCCTTAACCTCAATCGCGTCTCAGTTCGTTGCCTTCAAAAGGAGAGCTCCTACTTCCCTCTCTGCGGCTCCATCATCCTTATCCCACTTCACATACACAAACCTTCAGCCACCTCAACTTATTCCTTCACCCTCAACACATCACCTCACTCAACCCAAACTACAATGGCCC